TTTGATTTAGCAACCCTCAGCACAATATCATAATGTAGGCTTACAACTATACAGAATTTTAACATGATATAAAAATTGTTAAACTCCACGTAGCTTATCACATAATCTTAAGAATGCTGGTAAATAAAAATGGAATATAAGCTAATTTATGATTTTGACTATTAGCATAGAGATATCAGTAACAATTCTAGCTTCCATAATTTTCTCAATGGTCAGTGAGAAACAATCAATTCAACATGGGCTCTAAGATCTTGATGAAAGGAAGAAGACCTTGAAAGGAGAGATGTATTTTAAGAAACTGGTTTCTGGAATTTTGGAGACTGGTAGGTTCACAATCTATCAAGCTGGCTTACAGGTTAGAGACCCGAGAAGGGCCAGCATTACAGTTTGAAGCTCCAGATATCCTGGAGTCAGAATTCTCACTTTGTCAGAGAAACTCAGCTGTGTTGTCCTATGGCTTTCCGCTGATGGGACAGGATCTGCTCACATTATGGAGAAATAATCACCGTTCACAAAGACAACTCATTTAAATGTAAATCTCATCTGAAAAATACTTTTATAGAGATATCTAAACTAATATTGATAAAATAAGTAGGTTATGTGTTTTAAACAATTGAGTCTTAAAATTAATATTTAATAGGTCACATAATCAATGAACCTGGCAAAAATAGTTGAAATTATTTCAAAGAACTTTGAGCTCTAAAAGCATTTGTAATCTAAGTAGGCTTTGCAGACACTGACTATATACAAATGTTCATAATTTCCAGAGAGCTATATGTGTCTGTGTAAAATTTTCTGTAACCAAAAGAATCACTAACTACTCCTTCTCAAAATATAATCTATTTTGACGTAGCTTTAACATTATGTTTCCTTAGCACACAAACCTGAGTTTCTCAATTTGGCACCTTTCTCTTATCTGTCTGTCAGTTTAGCTAATAAATAACACAATTTACATGTGGACAGTGATAAAAATATAGTTTTCCCCAGTTTATGCAATTTTGTTAATAGAAAAGAATAAATAATGACTAAAGGGTAAGATTAAAAATAGTAAAGAATTCCAAATCTGCTCTGGGAGAGTGATATCCTTCTAAGGTGCAACCTTTGAAATTTGTGGCAATTCTTAATATTGAGAAACTCAGTTATAACCACAGAAATTCTGAACCAGTTAATAGAAACACAGATGCTTCCAGAATAGTCAAAACCTAATTATTAAGGAGATGATTTGGACCCAACTTTGTCAATGAAACTGTGGTTGTACAGTTCATTTGAGAGCAGCAGTAGTGAGGAACTCTCTCCAGTCTTTTGCTTTCCATAATCTCTTGCATTTACAATCCCTCAAAAGACCACCCTTTCCTAAATGAGATAGATGAGACTTGGGATCTTAACTCCCCGAAGATCCCTGGATGACTGCCTGGTTTTCTCTTACAAAGTCAAAATGGACCTTGCTTTTTTTTTTAATCTGCTGAGAAAACCAGGCACAGACCCTCTAATTTTCCCTTCTCGGTTTCATGAATAAATAGGCACTGGTTTTCCCCTTGTAGTTAGCTACATAAACATTCCCTATTGAATTAACTGAGAATCTCCTGCTTTTAAAACAATTTTAAATATAGCCTTCCTTCCTATGAAAGTCTGTCACCAAACCCTGTGCGAAGGTACTCAGAGCTGCACAACAGCTAAGTGAAATAAGATTTTCAATTGTTATGTTGCTTTCTTTGACAGTTGCTTCAGGATGTCATTAACCACAGAAATCATAAGCAATGAAAAATCTGTTTATCAATACAATGAGGTTTAAGAAAGTATCGCTAACACTTTATTTTGAAATATGTGTTTTTGAGGACATTTTATATTGTAAGGAGAGATTTCTGTCTTCAACTAAGGATATAGAAATTAACAGCATCCATTCTATCCCTAAAATAATATAAAAAAGTAGTTGGTCAATCTTCAGGTTCACAACCATTTTGGATTTATCACAGCTAAAGTTCCAGGGCAACCAACTTATATGAAGTAAAGACAAAGCCCTTTCAAAGAAAGTACTGAGATCCTCACAATGAACTATCCTTAATATCCTTAAAAATTTCCAAGGACCAGTGTAAGGGAATAAAATAATATAGATTTGTGGAAGATGCATATATAAAGGGAAATTACTCACTCTGTTATCTCATCTTCCTAGACCTCAATGGATGGTTACAAGTTTATCTAGAATTCTAGAAATGCCCTTCAAGGTCATAGCTTACACAGACAGTGTCCACTAAGACAATGTCAATGGCTAAGACTGTCCAAGAACACAGAAATGTGGGGCTGTCCACATGCAATGCCAGCCTGGAAGCATTACAGACATGAGGTGCTACACTGTAAAACCTGCAGTATTGGCTAAATCTAGAACATCCATGGAGAGAAAGATCTCTAAAATGCTGGGGCTTAATGAAAACTTCACTTCCTACAAGATTCGGGACATGGAGTCAAGAAAAATAAGTCAAGAAAAAATTAATGCTTTACCCTATTAAGTTTTGTACTTAGAATATTTGCACCTTTTTCTTGATTTTTTTGGAATGGGAATATGTATCTTGTATCTGCCACATTATTGCATTTTAGAAGCATATATCTCTCACAGGTGGAAAGAGTCCTATCTTGAGTTTTACCCATATCTGATTTAGATAAATTTATGAGCTTTGAACTTTTCAGTGGGTGGTGGAAGGAGGAAAGACACGCTAGAGATGCAAGAAATGTATTCTATACGCAAAAAGGACATCACTTTTGGGGGACGAGGAGAGAATCTGTAGTTTGAAGGTTATTCCTTTACGAACTCAGGTTGAAATTTAGTTAATACTGTAACAATATTGAGAAATGGGATGTTTATAGGGTGATCAGGCCCTGTGAACTGATTGGTGAAATTATCAGAGTAAACTCAATACAGAAAGATAAGTTTGTCCTCTCCTGTTACATCTTGCTCTCACTTTGCTCCTCTGTAATGAGATGAGTCAGCAGATGCCAGACCCTTGACCTTGAATTTCCCACCCTCTAGAACTAGGAGTCATTAAACTTTTGTTTAGTGTAAGCTAAATTATTCAAGATACTGTATTCTTGTATAGCAACACAAAACAAATTAAAACAGAATACAAGACTTGTATCACAGACAATTTTACTTCAGAATTGTACAAAAACTCTGGTACTTTAAAAGGCTGCCTTTGATACTGCCATTAAAAAGCAAATGAAATATTTAGATATAAATTTTACAAAACTTTTTCTGACTCACTACACTGAACACTATAAAATTTTGATAAAAGACATAGAGTTCATAAATAAAGAAATTTAATGTTGCCATAGATTAAAGGCTCAATATTGTTACAATGTCAATGACATAATCAAAATCGCTGCATGATGTTATGGTAAATATTGACAGAATGATACTAAAATCCATATGTCAAATCAAAGGAAAGGGAATAGCAAAAGCAATTTGACAAATCAGAACACAGTTGAATGACTGGTATTTTTTGATTTAAAGATTATAATGCTACAGAAATCAAGACATTGTGCTATTAATGAAAAGATAAGACTCAGCTTAATGAAACGGAGCTATCAGAATTTGACTGCTGTTTATATTAAAACTTTTAAAAATGATGAAAAGGCAAACTGCTGGAAACAATATATGGTAAATGGGGCAAAAATACATATCCATAAACAAAATTCAAGCTGAATTCATAATTAGTACCTTACACAAAAATGAACATAGATTAAACATTAAATGTGAAAGTATAAAATTTGTTTAATGAAAGATAGGATAAAAATCTTGTATTAGGCACAAAGAGTACTTAGGTAAGATACAAATATATCTGTAAATCATACTTTTGTTAAGAATGTATATCAGAATATATAAAGAATTCTTACAACAACAATAAGAAATCAATCATGTAGTAGAAGTGGGCATAAATTTGAGTAGGCATTTCATTAATAAGCTATGCGAATGTTAAGAAAAGGTGTACATTTTTAAGTATTAGGAAAATTCAAATTAAGTCTACAATGAGATACTATTACCCAATATTAGAACAGCAAACAACAACAACAACAACAAAATTTAAAACCAAAAAATAATAACATGATTGTTGTAGTCAGGGGTTGCAAGGAGAATAATTACATACAGGACACATACTTTATAGTATTTTTTATAATGACCACCCAAGGAGTCAAATACAAAGATAAGTGCAGGAAATTGTCCACAACACTATTGACCTAGAAAATCCAGCAGAGGGCCTGGATCCCATGGCAATAACCGGCATGAGTTCAGCTGAAAACCTTAAAGCCCACAATAATGACTCATGCAAGTCTATTTCAGGGACCTGCACTGGGAAGGCCCAAGATGAGCAGTGCAAGCCAGAAGGTCTGTGTCAGCAGAGTGAAGGATCTGTACCTGTAGGCTGAGGGTCCTGAAGCGGGGCCAAAAATGATGCTCCAAATAAGGATCAGGGCTCCCCCTAAAAGTACCAAAGTCATCCTCAGTGACAATGAAGTCCTGAGTTGCTCTGCAAATGAGAAAGTCAAGCACATATCAGGAAGCCAGCTTGATAAACTTCTGGAGATTCAACAGGATACATATTCCTCTGGGGCCAGGAAGCAATACTCAAGTAAAGAACAGAGCTCCCCCAAAGTGAACCACAGCCATTTTCAGCAACAAGGTTCCAAGCTCCTATCATGAAAACAGCTGAGCTAATATCAGGGAAGCTAGCACGACAAGCTCCCACAGGAGAACCAGTGACTCCAGATAACATTTAGGTGACTCATAATGCTACTCTTCCTCTTCAGGTCTCCTCTTTTTGCTGGTAACAGTACTCAGGTGTGCCATCTACGCTCAGCACCATGCTGATTGAGTTCAGCTGGTGTTTAAGTTGACCACCAGTTACCAATCCACAACAATGACTATTATGGCTTATACTTGATGTCCCCCCTCCAAGCTTCACATGCTCATAGGTGGGGTTTTGGGTGGTGGGTGGGTCCAGGGTGTGGGATACAGGGATTTAGAGTGCATGATATCTGAGTTAGATATGTTAACTAACTCAATTAATTGTTATCACTGTGTTATTGGATTAACATAGTTCTGGAGTGGTAGAATGGATTTACTGAAGAGAGAAGCCCTACCTGGTTGCAGGTGGCACTAAACAATAGGCTTGTAGCTTGGCAGGAATATAAAGGGACACAAAGAAGACAGTCTTCCTGCTACTGCTGCCTCCTTCCTATCCTGCCTGGACTTTTTCTCATCTGCCATGTCTCTCTGCCATGCTGCCTGGCCTCAGACCCAGATGACTATGGGATGAAACCTCTGCAAACTGTGAGCCAAAATACACCTTTCTTCTTTAACGTGTGTGTGTGTGTGTGTGTGTGTGTGTGTGTGTGTGTGGTGTTTTGTCCCAGAAATATGATTGTGACTAAGACAATGATAAAGTATTGGTAAGAATGTGGAACATAATAACGCTTTGTTAATGAGAATGGAAAATAGTATGACCAGTTTTTAAAACAATTTGGAAATTTCCTACATACTTAAATTAAACCTGTTTGCTTTATAATACTTCAACTCCACTCCTAATTATTCATGCAAGAGATTAAAAACTTATATATGTTCCAAAACTCATAGATGAATATCTGTGTCATATTTGTTCATAATCACTGACAACTTAAAATGTTTTCAATTGATGAATCAATAGGCAACTGATATTTAACAATGTAAAAAATCAATTATTTACCTGCACAACGTTAATGAATTTCGAATATATTTTTCTTAGTGAAAAATGCTACAGCTAACAGAAGACAAATAGTTTCATTCTCTTTGGCAAAAAAAAAAAATAGGTAGGAAGAACAATCCAGAGCAATAGAGAACACATGCGATGTGAGTTGTCAGTAGCTAATGGTTGGTGTCAGGGTACAAAGCATGAAGGAATTGGAATTGTTAGAGTGCTTTTCTTTACTTTAAAATAATTGATGAATGATTCTATTTTTGTCAAAACTCATAAAACTGTATACCACAAAAAGTAACTTTTACTGTATAAAAATTCAAAAATAATCCTAAAAATGTTTCTAGAAAGAAGTAATATAGTTATATCATTTTCTTGAAACATGCACAAATGTTCAGCTGTGGTTAATATAATGTATTTAGTTACTAAATGTATCATCTCATTACCAAAATATACCAACAAATAAAATATTTAGTATTATCATTCAGCGTGTAAAACAAAATGACTAATATGACTCATGAGCAGTTTACATTTCCTTTATGCCTCAAAGAGTTTTAGAGACTTTTTGAAACACCACTAGCATTTAGTATTTCTAGCAAGTGCATACATCATACAGGAGATTTTATAATCAGTTCTTAAAAGCCACAGATTTGGTCAGCAATATAAAATTCAACAGCCAGTTCTTCTATCTTGTTGGTAACTGTAGACATATGATCATTAAAATATATAAATGGTAAAATTTGACTATATTTCTCCAAATTTCCAAATTTCTTTTTTGACAGCCCTACAGAAAGTCAGTACATTTTCTGAGACTGCTCCTAATTGCTATAGTAAGAGCAGTTTTTGAAATTGAATGTTAAAAATGCATTGTTTTTTAAATCTAAGATTGATTCACATTTTTTTAGTATTTTATTAATTTGATTATGTGTTGTTTAAATGAATAAGTCATCTGATGACAGTAATTCTATGGAACTGTAGAAGTCTGTAAAATTAAATATAACTTATTTGGAGTTGTCTTTTTGGAGGTGTCAGTTGATGAGTGATTGTCACTCTTGGGTATGTTGGAGCACATCATAGTAGAAGTGTATGTTGGAGGTTCCCATATATATATAGGTTTGTTCCTAATTTGTGAACCACCTGCATGTTTGAAATTCTTTTTAAAAATTCCTAAAAGTGAAAGTGAAGTTTGGGGAAAGCTATTAAGAGGATACTAGAGTCAGATGATTGAGAACATTAAATTCAAATAATGAACAGTGAAATATTAAAAGCCAATGAATATAGTCTAGATAAAAACTTCAGATAATTCAGGAGGACCTTGGGTAGGCAGTTAGGCAGTAGAAATCCATGAATTTGTGTGGAGAAAGGTATCTTTATAGGCATCTAATTTGACGTTTTTATATTAGGATATTGTAAACAAATTACACTGAATTTAAAATTATTTTAATCTGACTGTACTCTTCCTACCTTGTTTTAGCTCACCAACTAACTGCTTATGGCATAGTATTAATGTGGTTATTAGTTTTAGTCAGTTTTCTGTTACTGTAACAAATATCTAAGGTCATTAATTTAGAATGAAAAAGACGTATTTGGAGTTGTCTTTTTGGAGGTGTCAGTTGATGAGTGACTGTCGCTCTTGGGTATGTTGGAGCACATCATGGTAGAAGTGTATGTTGGAGGTTCACATTTACCTCATGACTGGAAAGTGAGACAGATGAAGAAGCTGATGTTGGGTCCCCTTATCCTTTTAAAGCATCTCTTCCAGTGACCTAAAACCTTCCACTGGGCCCCACCTCCTGAAGTAGCATCATAGCTAAGACCCAGTCTTTATCACATATATTTTCAGAATTACTTATCCCAAAATAGTACTGTTCTAAAACCAGATTGAATCAGAACTATTCATGTTTCTGAAACCTAGATCTATGATGAATTTTCAGAGTTCTGAAATGTGTCTTCCATTATGCCCTTATGAAACAATCACCCTTTTTAAGAACTTTGAAGTATTTGAATTTTACACTGCTTCCAAGCTAAAAGTCAGTGTGCCACACTTTCATGGTTTCTGGTAGAAGAGGAAACTCCTAGGCCAGAAATAAAACATTTCTCAGAATAACAAGCAGTGTGAACTGTGTGCTTACATAATTTTCTTAGGTCCTCTAAACCTGCAGGGAGGACTCTGAAGTCACTAGTTAAAAGCTATGTATGTTTGTGTGTGTACCATAATCAGGGAATCCTGAACTAACGTAACCCCAATCTTTCAAAGGGAATTCAGGCAATGGGCTCAATAGTTCCTTTGTGGAGAGACATTTTTGTTACTCTCCTGGACAATGAGCATATCTACCTGAACCAGATAGTAAACACTATCTCTGTCTTTCAAGGCTATTTGTTACTATCTCTGTCTTTCAAGGCTATTAGTTACATGGATAGCCTTGTAAAAGTTGTTGACTGTTGACAAAATATACAGGAACATGACAGACTGATGAAGAACTGTCTCCTCAAATACTCAAACAGCACAAGTAGTTAAAATGTATATTCCCTAAGCATTAGTCAAGTAAAATGCATTCTAAGCCAGTGAGGCCTGTGTTGCACCCTTCCCAGTCACTATTAAAGTCCAAATTAATGTAATGAAGATCATAACAAATGGCCAACATTTTGAGTACTTATAAGATCTTTCTTTAAAAATTTATCACCTCAGTGAATTCTATCAAAGAGTTATTGCCATTCCTCTGACTTTGTGCATGGTCCTATCCTAGTGTGTTCAAAAAGCCCTACTAAGAAGTCGTCCTGAAAATACATGAGTTTAGCAGCTTACGTGTAGTAGACTGATACAAAATTAAATTAGAGGTCTGTAAAAGCGATTTTCTGACTTTTCCAGATATTCTAAGTAGCTTATACCAGGTCTTATAGATAAATGGTAGGAGAGGTTTTTCATTAATCCTCTATGTCCTAAATTTGTCTTCAGGCTTATAAACATTTTACTAATCATTGTTTCTATATAGTTCACTCTTGATGCCTTCATAGCTATGTTTCCAATATTACGATGGTCATTCTAAACATATTTAAAGTCGTGTTATTGAAAATTATTTCTCTAGGAAATTTTTCTACCAAGTTGTATATACAGTTAATGAACAGGAACTGCTGGTGATCCAGCATACTTCTGAGGAAAGGATATGTAACTTATCTTCTCTATGGTCCAACTATGCGATAATCGTAGTTTAAACTGACAGAGACAGACCTAGTGAGTCCCGTGAAGTGATAATTTTGACTTGTCCTTCACCTTGTCCATCTGAGTATTTAGAACTAGTAGGGATATAATTTAACATCTTTTAAAGAATTTCCCGTTTTATACACTCTGTAATCAACTATTTCTAACTAGGATGATCTAACACCGCCAAGAGTGATTAACCACATTGAAAGTCATAGGGTGCGGTTAATGGCAAACATAATGAAAGAAGAGAGGTAATCTTCTAGTAGTGGGGCTTTCACTCTGATTCCTATTGGTTTTCTAATGGTCTCCTTGAATGCCACTTTAACTGACCGAAAACAGGAATCTTAAGCTGTACTTAATTGCTCTGCAGCACTGTGACAAAAGAACTTTCTGTGATACAAAACAGTCTGCTGTGGCAATGAGCCATAGGTTCACCACCAGTGCTCTAGAACAAACTTACTTACTTTGCTATGGCTTCAATGGACTGTCCAAAAACGTATGTTAAAAAATAATTTCCAGTGTAACAGTGCTGGGAGGTGGAGTCTCATGCAAAGTCCTTAATGTTGTTAGTTTGGTAGTGACTTAGATATTGCAGAAATAGATTCCCATAGGACAGGTTCAATCTTCTCGTCACTCACTTTTTCTCTTATACTCTGTCTTTACCGTGGGATGACATAGCAAGAAAGTCCTTGAGGGATTCTAGGTCCTGGACTTGGGGTCTCTTAGGTTCCAAAACTCAGAAAATTCTATTCATTGTAAATTACACAGTCTGTTATACAGTACAAAATGGACTAAAAAATACCCAGTCTACCACTAACCAGGATATCTGCAACCAAGGTTAGGGCAGGTTTGTTGATAATACCACTGAATATCCTGCTATGAACATCATAATGTTTTCATTTCCAATCTTACGTTTTTTTTTTTATGACAGTGATATTATGTGTATACTAACAATAGTCTAACACATTTCAGTCTCTGCATTGTTCCCATGCTTTGAAATCTACTTGCTTGTTACTTACTGAGAATTCTGTCTTCACATATTCCCTTAGGCTGTGTTCCATAGATTTTGAACTTCAGCTGCCATGACAATATAAGAAACTAGTTTTTCAACCAATTCATTTCTCAACTGCCAAGCTTGGAGCACCTCAGGGGACATACAAACAGATGGATTATCTCAACTGTATTTTTGAGTGACATCGCTAGACCAACATTTGCCCCAGATTATACCATGTACTCATAACATTTTTATGGGGGATTTTTGTATAATTTCAATTTGTTGATGCATCTGCCTCCTCAGCACATTTTCACTGTTATTATTACTTAGAGATCCTAGAACATCCATTGACCTTACATCCCATAAAATCTAAGGGAATATGAAGATGAGAGACACAATATCTGAATGTTCAAGGAATAGTATGAAATTATACCACCCAATATTTGAAAGCATGTCCACAAAGGAGCTAGTTATCAATTATCTAAACAGAAAAGATAATTATTATGACCAAAAATTGGAGAAATAGAAACTTGTGGTCCATTTTATCCCCTATTCTTCCATCCCACCTTTCTTTTTTTAAACAAGTCCATTAAAGAATTCTTGCTCACCTACATCAGCAGAAGTAGCCAAGAATGGGCAAACTTTTCATTATTTCTACTTAACAACATGTTCTAATTTCACTTCTCATCATCTATTTTTGCTATTGTATAGATTGTTCATACATGGGAACCTATAATTTAAAATAATGTCAATCCCTATTTTAAAATCTGTTATTATATACCTTCATGTGCTATTACAGTCTCATATTACTCCTTTCCTTCCAAACTCCTTTGCAAATCCCAAATAGAACTATTTCAGGCACCTGTGTTTTGCATATGTAATTTCTTTAGTCTGGTACAAACCTTACCTGTGCAATTCAATCTTTTCTCAGCATTTCTTCAAATTTAGTGCAAGACAGAACATCATAAAAATGCAAACTCTGAGAGAGTGTTGAACATGTACTATTTGCTATGTGCATTGTCTAGCAAATTAAAGCTAATCATATATCACTAAATAGATTGTAAACATTTATCAATTTTTATATATTCATACAATGAGCTGTCCTATTTCAAAACTACACTTCAAGCCACCTGTTAAAGTTGATGTAGACATTTCATTGTTGATAAATTTCAATATAAAGTTTCAATAGAGAGTTGATTTTTTAGGTTACAATTAACATTCTAGTGCATAGACCTAGGGTTTATAATTCTTTATCCTTGTACAGCCTGAAGAGTTAATTTAGATTCAAGACTAGAGCTCTTTCTGTTGATAGATGCAATGAGAGTGTCAGGACACTTCAGCTAAACTTTATCAAACTGAGTGACAGATTGGTTTATCTAAATTGAGGGTTTTTTCTCCCTCTACCTTTTAATTATGGCTCATTCTTAAGGTATTTTATTATAATTATTCACAGCTTGTGCTGCTTTATTGATTAAACTGCTGTTAAGATCTTAGTGGAAATACAGCATAAAGCATGTAATATAAGCCTTTTAAAGTTATTGTTATGCTTGTAGTCAGATGGCTGCAGTTGTGGTGGCTGTGATTGAAAAACAAATGAAATGTTTTTAGGCAACTGTAATCACATTAGTCTTGACATTTCACTACTTCCCCCTAGGTAACTAATAGAATCTTTGCATTTCTAAAAGGAAACTCCTAATTAAATATTATTCCCTTTCTTTTTTTTCCACTTAAGGAAAAAATCTTATTCTATAAAGACCTCAGACTGTGTGTAAAGTTTCACCTCTTTCTTCATATTCAAGTTTCTACTTTGTATCCTGTTGGGCACATATATATCCATTCTAGGTTTAGATCTGTGTAGTCATTCATTACGATATGTCAACTTGGCTTGAGTAAAATCTCCTAGCAGATTAGTAAACTTCTAGGTGTATCTGTGGATGATGACACATTGGCCAGAAAACTCAGTAGAGATGTGTGTCACACCAGTGAACAGATTTATAATATGGACAGCATTAATGAAAAATGAAGGTTTTCACCATTATCTATGGATATTGGTCTCCCTTTTCAGACTTCCAGCCTGGACTCTTGGGTCTTCTGACACATACTCATGTTGGTGAGTACAGTGAGCTTTCAGGTATTCAACTTTCCATTGTTATTGGATCCTTCTGCTCTCCAGAGCATGGGCAGCCATTTTGGACTCCTGCTTCATATTCTTTAAGCCTAAGAAATCCCTTTTCTAATTTTACGTATGTTTTGCATAGATTCTGCTCCTTTAGAGAACTCTGAAACAATATGTTTACTCACTGTAAGGCCCAAAGAATGTGTTCCTGTAAGTTGATTAGATTTTTTCAAAAGAACCAACATAAGTTAAAAAAAAGTGTGATTCAGATAGAGTTTATTAATGGCAACTGTCATGAAACTGCCAACCTCACTGGGCATGAGTGAGAAGCTAACAAAAAGAATGCTGTGAGTTTCTTAGTTTTCAAAATATAGTGAGGTTTTATATAGTACAGCAAAACCTATAGCCTTTTTATAAAAAACTCTGATAGCCAGAGTTTGAACCTAAGGTTTATCTGATACTACTTCTATAATCATGGGCAAATTATTAATCTTTTGAAATATTTTCTTCATCTATAAAATAAGATTATAGTAGTGCTTAATGAATATGACTAATCATTCTCTTAACCGTGTTTACTCAACTAGTCCTAGAAGTATAAGATTATACTTCCATCCTTATACTACAGGCATGGAAGAAAAGACAGGTAAGTTCTATCCGTCTGACTACCAGGTAGCCATTGTATGCCTGACACTGTTCTGAATGCAAACTTGGTAGAATTAAAACACTAGTATCATCTCTTCTTCCAAAAAAAAAAAAAATCACTGGAAGCATGACAAAGTCAATAAATGGTAAATGTGTTGCATATGACTGGTGTTTGTGTTTAAAGTAAACATTCGGACTGGGTCCCTAAAAAGTTAGGGCCATAGATTGTCAGTATTTTCTTGAGTATTGATGTCACAAGCTGTTTTGTATTCAGAGATTATGCAAGTGGTATAACACTACTTTCTGAAGCTCATTACATGTGCAAGTGCATACACATAATCAACTAAAGAAGAAATACTTAATTTTCTCTGGTAGGCAAAATCTCTAGCTATACCCATTATGGATGAATCTGACTGGCATTAATTATTTGGGTTTTGTAACATCAATATTCAACTTGCCAATGTTAGGACCCTTCTCAGGAGTGAAATAGCCATGATTTATCTCCCTAAATTAAAAAGGTTGAATGGTATTATCTCATATACATAATTCATTTTAATTAAATGCATATTCTTGAATAGCTTCTTAATGGCTATCCAGTGCCTCATTAATCTTAAATGGAACAAATTGTGAGAGGTCATGTGATAACTCAAATTCATAAACGTTATGTGAGAGCCCAAGTACAATGTGTATTAGGCAATCTCTGCATGTCAAGTATATGTTAGGTATGATATTTATTAATGACAACATGTATTAGGCAATCTCTGCATGTCGAGTATATGTTAGGTATGATGTTTATTAATGATAGAATTATCTCAAATATGTAAGCATAAAAAAGAAATGTATTTAAAGACTGCATTTTCTACAGTCATTTAAATTTTTTGCAAGTAACACGAAAATACTTACAATATGTTAATTTATCTGCAATGGACAGAGTTTATACATGTCGAGGTTCATTTTGAACAGAAACTTCCGGCACACATGACACTGAGTTTATCAAAAGCAAAAATTTCTGTCCATTTTGTTTACTTCTGTGCCATAAAAATATCAAAAATCCCCTCATGTATAGGAATTGAGTAAAAATTCCATGGATGAATGAATGGTCGTTGAATACACTGGAGTTTTTTGTGAATGTTCAAGTCACAGTGACGATCTTCTTACTCTTTTTTGCATTTGTCGAGACAGCAATGCTCTGAGGGGAAAAAAAAAATTTGCGTGGTATTTTTCTAGTTTACAGTTATGTCTTCCATCACAATCCCTAGTGGAATCCTTGACAGTTATGGGGCATCAAAATGAAAAAAATATGATGAATAGCTGCACAAATCCACCACTTTTAGTAGCAGAAAATAAATGTGACCCATTAAAAGAAAACAACAAAAAAAGCCTTATCCTAATAAATTCTCAACAATGTATAAATTAAAAATTAGATATCCAAGAAATGTATTTTGCATATTTTCTTTGCTTTATAAATATTTTCCTATATGATAATAATAGGATCATAATAGGTTGAATATTTTGGTACAGCTTAATTTAAAACTAAGTATTTTTACAAAGAATTTAATTCTGAAAAAAGAAAAATAGGTCTCTGAAGTTATTTTGGTGCAGCAATTAATTTGAGGGTCAGAATGAGCATGAAATGTTTCTCTCTCTTTCTCTCTCTCTCTTTCTGTTTCTCTATCTCTGCAAGTCTTTAAAAATGAAGACCTTACAGACACACTAAAGACAGCCACATGCAAACATTGATTTTTCTGACTTTTAAACAATGTTTTTGTAAAGTTAAGACATTCATGAGGCATTCTGTTTTGGAAGTACTTTTATTTCATTATTTGAGCAATTTTTTCACAACAAACTGATGAGTCGAATTAGAAATATGTTTCTCACTTTACAGAATTTGTGGAACAATGACATCAAGGTAATGTGGGTAAAAAAACCTGAAGTGGTAGGATGAAAAATGTAGCCTCTAAATGTGTATCTGGTATGTTTATGAATGATACAGAGAACACAGTTGTGATACAAAATGAATATAAATGGTTGGAAACTATGGATTGATATAGAAACCTTATGATACCTCACCAAGTCATTGTAAGTCTTGAGTAAGATTCCAGAGAAGCTGGCATTGAATCTTGTAGTTCATCATACATGAAAAATCCAACATAGGTATTCAGAGGATGTTATAGTAAATGAAGCTGCTTAAATTGTGATTCTTTAATCAAATTGTCTTTTATTTATTAGAATGTAATAAAAAATTACCAATATTTTTATTGGTTCACGTAGTCCCACTGGCATACCAGGTGATTCCTTTTTCTTTGTATGCACTCATTCATTTAATTATCTCACTAGGCCATTGCTACCCCCATTTTATAGATTAAAAGATTGAGGTAAAAACATTACATTTCTTAAGGTTTCTGTAATCATTACTCCTCATGTGTCAACTTCTCAGGATTAAGAAATACCTACCAGATTAATAAGCATAATCCCAGATGTGTCTGCATAGATCATGGAAGCCCACTCTTCTGTAATACTATTCCCCTGCCTTGTTTCCTAACAGCCCTGAACTAAACAGTTCTGCTGCCCCCTGCCATCCTATCACGAGGTTTCTGTCTTCTCCTGAATCTCTTAAGACCATAAGCTAAATGAAACCTTTCATCTCTTATCTTTTGGGTGCTGGATCTTGTGACTCAGCCACAGATATCTAGTACAATCACATGTGCCTAAGCACTGTGACTTTATTTTGTTTTTTTTTTTATTTATTTTATTTTTTATTTTTTTTTGTCTTTTTCCTTTTTATCGGTACCAGGGATCGAACTCATGACTGCCTGCTTGCAAGGCAGGCGCTTATGCCGCTGAGCTAAATCCCCAGCCCCCAGCACTGTGACTTTAGAGACCATTCTTTCACTATTGTTCCACTCTGCCTCTAAATGACTGAGCTGCTCTGTTTTTTCTATACTCTTAGATTAAGAATTTAATTAAAGCAGGGCAATATTATAACAAAGGAATTACAGTTAAGGAAGTTAAAAGTTTGAGAAAAAAACTTTCTGTTATGATATTAGATGGAGAATGTCCCCCAAAAGTCTCATATATGCAGAGGCTGGTCTTTTGGAAAGTAATTGGGTCATGGCAGCAGTGTCCTCGTCTGTGGACCGGTCCATTGATGAGTTCATTGGTAAAGGTGCTGTTAAGAGGTGAGGCTGGCTGGAAGAGTGTGTCATTGGGGAGAGTGCCTTGGGAGAGGATATCTCCCTCCCCAGGTCCTGTCTTTTGCTTCCTGGTTGACATACAGGGAGAAGCTTTCTTCTACCATCTTCTGATATGTTGTTTCTGCCTTTGAGTACACCAACAATGAACTGAATCCACTGAAAAGCATGATCTAAAATAAACTTCTCTTCTTTTGTACAGTAGGTGCTGGGTGTTTTGTCTTAGCAATGGGAAAGCCCAATATACTTCTTCAGGTCCAAGTATAACCTTGTAATTTATTAGCTTTGTGTTTTTGAAAAAAAAAAAAAAAACAAATTTTCTAAGAAAGTTTCATTTTTTTTTTTGATTAGGAGTAAGAATTATGTGCTGATGTACTGGAAAAATTAATGAAATGATAAAACAAAAGTGTCTGACAATAATAAATAAGTTAATAATAAAGTTGCTCTATTTGCTGAACTGATTACATTAATAGCACAGAATTGCAACCATGTAGAGAAGAAAAGCCTTAATAGGAAAAATTAATAGAAGAAGATTTTGTAGTCACTGAATGGACACTGTTAGCTTGTTTTGAGTATTACTCAATAATTTTGAAAAGACATTTTAAAGTGCTTGGATAGAAAGTGGTTCATCTATAAATTGTCAGACCAATTAGACCCAGGGTTAGAGAAGATTCTGATATAGACATAGAATGCAACGAAGATATTTTAAAGTCATATTTACTGAGATTAGAAATATCAAGCTTAATTAAAAATTGAGGCTGCAAATTACATTTTTTACTTGTATATGATCTATCTTTTTGGTACATTTTAGAGATAAATAAACATAACAATCATCATAGGAAAATTGTATCTGTAGATTGTATACCTGATGTAATTTGTTTCTTACTGTTTTTCCTTCCCATCCCTGTCCTTCAAGCCCCCTTCCTCTCCTTATCTACAAAAGTTTTTTTTCCCTATTCTTCCCTCTATTCTCTTTTTCTCATCCCTTTCTTCCCTCCCTCATTCCCACTCCAAAAAAAAAGAGGGAATTAAAGAGTAGTGAGATTCTGCACAGTGAAATTCTGCTTAAATATTTTAGACTAGAACTCTATAAAAAAGAAATGGCATTTTGGAGTTGTTTCACATAATAAGCATATTTTAAGTGTATCGTTTGATGAGCTT